AGACTCCGTCTCAGAAAAAAAAAAAAAATTGTATTTGTTTACTTAGGCATTTATTGACTGCCTTGCTTTGTGGCAGGCACTAAAGAAACATTTTTCAATGTTATAAGCGATATTAAACTTGGTTTGACTCTCCTTTGCACAGAACTGAATGACTTCATCATCCAGCTTGATGAAGAAGTAGAGGGTATGCAGAGTACCATTCTCGTTCTGCAGCAGCAGCTGAAGGAGACACGCCAGCAGTTGGCTCAGTACCAGCAGCAGCAGTCTCAGGCCTCTGCCCCAAGTACCAGCAGGACTACAGCTTCTGAACCTGTAGAACAGTTGGAGGCCACAAGTAAAGACTGCAGTCGTCTGACAAACGGACCAAGTAATGGTAGCTCCTCCCGCCAGAGGACGTCTGGGTCTGGATTTCACAGGGAGGGCAACGCAACCGAAGATGACTTTCCTTCTTCTCCAGGGAATGGTAATAAGTCCTCCAACAGCTCAGAGGAGAGAACTGGCAGAGGAGGTAGTGGTTACGTAAATCAACTCAGTGCGGGGTATGAAAGTGTAGACTCTCCCACGGGCAGTGAAAACTCTCTCACACACCAATCAAATGACACAGACTCCAATCATGACCCTCAAGAGGAGAAAGCAGTGAGTGGGAAAGGTAACCGAACTGTGGGTTCCCGCCACGTTCAGAATGGCTTGGACTCAAGTGTAAATGTACAGGGTTCAGTTTTGTAATATTTTTTCAGCAAATTTTTATACAGTGTCATTTAATTTGGGAGAGGATACTGTCCAGAAAATTAATGCAAACTTTTGTCACAATTTGCCTTTTTGTGGGTGTACGTTTTGGTTTTTTGTTGTTGTTTTCTCTTTGTTTTTTTTTTTTTTTTTTTTTGCTTCAATACCTCTGCCACTTTGGAAATTGTAACAGTTAATTACTTTGAATGTTGCTAAAAGAACATTTTGTGTAGGGTCAAGTTATTTTTATATGAGTTAATGTGAAATTGTAAATGGAAATTTTTCCTTAAAATATAACACAATGACGTCTGTATAAATCTATGTCTGTTTAGAACCTGTGCTGTGTAAGGGCATTCTTCCTCATGCTGTTACTGTACTTATGCACCATTCAGACTTGTTAGAGTAGATGTGGGTTTATGACTGCCAAGTTTGCCCAGTACAGTAGTTTTTTATCACTAAAAGTTGGACTCATTGATGGAGTCCTGTAGTAGTTTCAGTGTTAGATACAGTTTTTTCCACCATACATCTGTGCATTTTCTCTTTAGGTGACTGAATGTTTAAGAAATTTATGTGCATAGTTACTCAGTTTTTATGAACTGTTGTATCCTGTTAATGCATATTGCTCTGTGACTCCAGTATATCTTACCTGTACTGACCAAACCTAAATAAAGATTTTTATTGTAACTCCTTAATTAGCGTTTTTGTTTTGTTTTGGGTGTCTGTTTAGCATTTATCATTGATTTTCACTGAGTCACTGAATTTCTACTCATTATCTTTCAAGTACTACAACAGTGAAACTTAAGACTAAGCATCGATTTTGATTTTGCACTTAATTTTTAATTTATGCCTTATTTTGCAAAATGGAGCTGGAGTTTAAGTCTACACTTAAAATTTTTTCTTGACTTATAAGTGTTACAAAATATTTGAAAATACAGAGAAGTATAAAGAAAATAGTCATCCAAATATTTCTTAGGGGTTTTTTAATTTTTATTTATTTATTTTAAATTGAGACAGGGTCTCACTTTGTCACCCAGACTCAAGTGCAGTGGTGCAGTCATGGCTCACTGCAGCCTCCCAAGTCCTAGGCTCAAGTGATCCTCCCACCTCAGCCTTCTGAGTACATGGGACTATAGGCATACACTACCACACCCAGCTACATTTATTTTATTTTTAGTAGAGACAAGGTCTTGCTGTGTTGCACATGCTGGCCTCAAGGGATCCTTCTGCCTTGGCCTCCCAACGTGTTGGGATTGCAGGAGTGAGCCACAGCTCCTGGCCCTTTTTGAGTTTTAATTGAAAAGCAGGATTTGTTTTTTGTGACCTGATTTCAAGTAGAGTATCTTTGTAGTCAGTGATGTTTGTTTTAAAACACTTGCCAGTACTACTGATTTTTACTAACAACATACCAGGTAATACTACATGAGTAAGGGGTGTTAGAATGTAGGTAGGAGAGAATGTTTTTAAGGTGGAAGAATCTCAAAGTTTGCTCCATTTTCTCAGAGGTAATTAAGTATAAAGTCTATGATATTGAATGGCCTTAAAAATGTGTAGCTTTCATATATGGTTGAAATAAAATTCCATTTCTGCTAAAAGAAAAAAGTATTGTTTTAGACATAAAAAGTATTGTTATGTCTAAAACATAAAAAGTATTGTTTTAGACATAACTTGTAATACAATCCAGGAACCCTGGAAGTGGAATTATAATACTTGAAAACTGAGGTACAACTTATTTGAAAGTAACTGCTGCGTTTGCTTGTTTAGCTGATACAGGTATGTCCAGTCTTCAGAAGTATATTAAATACTGTACTGTCTCTTGATTAACCTTTTCTTTTCTGTTTTTTGTTTTTTGCAACAGAGTCTCGCTCTGCCACCCAGGCTAGAGTGCAGTGGCACCATCGCGGCTCACTGCAACCTCCGCCTCTCGGATTCAAGCAATTCTGCCTCAGACTCCTGAGTAGCTGGGATTACAGGCACATGCCACCATGCTTGGCTTATTTTTGTATTTTTAGTAGAGACGGGGTTTCACCATGTTGGCCAGGCTGGTCTCAAACTCCTGACCTCGTGAGCCACCGTGCCCTGCCTTGATTAACCTTTTCTACAATGTGCTCGAGTGCGTAAAAAATCCTGTATTTGCATATGATTAAACATTTTGGTGTTTGATATATCAAATATTGTGGCTTTTGTTATGTACATCCTTCAACTTGACCAATTTAAACAAAAATGGAATTTCTCTGCCCTGTTGGTGTAATCATGAGTTGTGACAGGAAATTAAATTTTTCAACCAGTGATATAATTTTATGACTGAATTTAATATTGACCGGTTAATGTGACATTTTCATGTTTCTGTTGAGTCTGCCTTGATGAATAACTCAGAGCACTTATGCTGTGGTACATAGTATTTCTCATTTCTGGAATTGGGTGCTTTATTTTCTGGTATGACTATGATAAGAGAGGTGATAGAGTGGCTTCTGCATCTAATTGGTTTGAATCCTGGCATTACACTTAACTGATTTGTGGCTCGATGTTTTGTTTTTCTCCCCTGTAAGAGCTCTTACTACTGTCTTAGCTCGGGCGGCTATTGGGAAAAAAAAAAAGACTGGGTGGCTTTTACACACTCATTCCTCACTGTTTTTGGAGCCTGGGAAGTCTAAGATCACAGTGCCCCGACTGGTGCCCCAGTTTGGTTCCTGGTAGGAGTCTTCATACAGAGAGCGCAATAGATGTCAGTTTCCTTGGCTCCTCAGCTGTATTGGATTCAACTAACTACTCCAGTTTTTGAGACACTTTTGCAAAACAATGTAAAGCCATTCCTTCTGACAACTTTGTCTCTCGGATGTTCCATCTTTTCATGAGTAGTTATGCCCTGTACTCAATCATTGCGTGCTGCTCTACAACACTGTCTTGGGAGTTCACCTATCCGTGTAGTTACAGTGAACCTTTCATAGCCCCAGGTAATGTCATTAACTCTGATCTGGACCCACCATGGGGTGGCTGTGCTGAGGCAGTGTTGAGCCACCCCTAGTGGTAAGGAGCACACTGCTGACCTCCATCCTATGGCAAATCCAATTTGGTGATTCACTGTTTCCCTCATGGAGACCAAGGAGGAATTTGCTACATGGTAGGTTGGTGAATCCAGCCTCTGGCTAAGACCTGGCCTGGACTCCTGCAACTCTTTATGAAACTTAACCAAGAATGACTGCATCTTTACACGGGGCGGAGGGGGAAGATGCTGAGAAGGCCCCTTCAGGATAAACTGGCTCCATAGCTCTGCTATAATGGTGGCTCCTCATGAGTAAGCACTTGGAGATTTTTGTGGCTTCCTGCCCACTCACCCTGCTCACCAGTCCAGGTATTTATGATTCGAGATCTAGACGTAATTTTTTTTTTTTTTTGAGACAGAGTTTCACTCCTGTTGCCCAGGCTGGAGTGCAATGGTGCAATCTCGGCTCACTGCAACCTCCACCTCCTGGGTTCAAGTGATTCTCCTGCCTCAGCCTCCTGAGTAGCTGGGATTACAGGCATGTGCCACCACGCCCAGCTAATTTTGTATTTTTAGTAGAGGTGGGGTTTCTCCATGTTGATCAGGCTGGTCTCGAACTCACAACCTCAGGTGATCTGCCTGCCTCAGCCTCCCAAAGTGCTGGGATTACAGGCGTGGGCCACCGCACCCAGCCAAGATGTAATTTTTAAAATTACCTTCCAGCTGGCTGGGTGCAGTGGTTCACACCTGTAATCCCAGCACTTTGGGAGGTGGGCAGACCACAAGCTCAAGAGTTCGAGACCAGCCTGACCAACATGGTGAAACCCCGTCTTTACTAAAAATACAAAAATTAGCTGGTCATAGTGGCACAGGCCTGTAAGCCCAGCTACTCGGGAGGCTGAGGCAGAAGAATCGCTTGAACCTGGGAGGTGGAGGTTGCGGTGAGCCAAGATCGTGCCACTGTACTCCAGCCTGGGCGACAGAGTGAGACTCCATCTCAAAAGAAAAAAAAAAAAATTCCTCTTCTTTCCTTTATTCGTTATTCTTAGCCCCCATCTAGCCCATATAAATAGGTAATAATATGAGTAGCTATAATGAGGACCCCTCAGGGAACAGATGCTGTTTGGCCACTCAACAGAAGCATGCAATTACCTTCTCAAGATTTGCTCCTAAACTTACTCTAGATAGAGCCTTCAGGCAGGAAACAATATATTTCTTGTCTCCAGAAGAATATATTCATACTCATTCAAATGTGCTAGGCACTGGCCACAAAGAATGTATTGGTGTTCATTCATAATAAAGCAGTGTAACAGGATCATCTTGCAAAGCTTATATAGTCTGGTAGAGGAGACAGATAAACGAGGAATTACATGGTAAGTTGAAAGAGGAAGTTAGGGGTAAGATGCTGCACCAAATCCAGGAGATTGGAAGGTTTTTCTAGAAGTAATGTTTAAGAGGAGTTTCAGAGGTAAATTTCTGGCTTGGTTAACAGGATAGTTACACTGCTCACTGAGATTAGAGAAGAAACAGGCTGAAAGAGTTTGGTTTCAATGTCAAATTTGAGGTGCTTATAGGAAATTTTGTTTGTTTATTTATTTATGAGACACAGTTTCTCTCTGTCGCCCAGGCTGGAGTGCAGTGGTGTGATCTCGGCTCACTGAAACCTCTGCCTCCCAGGTTCAAGCGATTCTCCTATATCAGCCTCCCCAGTAGCTGGGATTACAGGTGCACGCCACCATGCCCGGCTAATTTTTGCATTTTATGGTAAAAATGGGATATCACCATGTTCGCCAGGCTGGTCTCAAACTGCTGATCTCAAATGATCCGCCCTCCTCGGCTTCCCAAAGTGCTGGGATTACAGGTGTGAGCCAGGGTGCCCGACCTGATGCGCTAGTAAGAATTTAAATGAAGAGGGTCAGTTTAGGAGACTAGGTTAGATGTAAAGATTTCAGACTGGTCAGTATACAGGTGGTGACTGATGCCGTGGGAAGGACTGGTATTACCCAGGGAGCTGGTGCAAAGTAGGAGCCTTGGGGAACATGTTAAGGGGATGTCAGAGTAACCCCACAAAGCCTCAGAAGTGGCCAGAGAGTAAGGGGAAAATGGGATAGAATAGAGCAAAAGCCACGGGAGGCATTCCTTGAATTCCTTGGACTCAGATATGTTAGGGGACAGGAAACACATTCAAGATAACTGAAAAGAAGAGACTTAAGTATGCTGCTGAGTTCTTAGCAGGGGAGGCAGCTGATTTCACCACTATTCCAGACCCTAAAGATTTCTCCTGAAATTGCACTGTTATGCAACTTTTTTCCTTCTCTATTGCCCCACCTCTGGGGCGTACACTCTAGTTTATCTTCTCTGATTTATCTGACTCATCCACATATCTCTGCAAAGTCTTAATGTAGGTTTCCAGGATTTAATGATTCTTTCAATCTACTTTAAAGTTCTTCAGGAAGATTCTCCAGGTCCGTCAACCGTTTTCCCCTTCATGACTTTGTGACCAAGTTTTCTTGTTCCACTATCCAGGTGTTCCCAACAAGTTGCTGTAACGGTGGCCCTGATAAGCTTGCCTAGAACCCTAGAAAGCTCAGAAAAATTATGAACTTTGCCCAGGAAAAGGCTGGGAAGTCAGCAAGGGTTTTAAACAAAACTGACCCCACTTGTTATATGCTCCTTTCACTGTCCAAACGTCAACCAAGGTAACTTTTCACTGTGGGACGTTAAGACGCTGCCGGCGTCCTCACCCCTTCACCGCCAGAGCTGATCTTCGAAGGCCAGGGGGCGCCAGCCCAACGGGGGCTCGCACCGAGACGCTCCCAGCAAGCCCCGCACGGGCCGGGCTCTCACTCGAGATTCTCGCCCGTGGGATTCCAGTCCTGGGCTGAACGAGAGTGAGTCTTTTGTCACACCCCACTCTTTACTGTTTCGAAAAACTCTTAAGGTTAAAACAAAAAAGCCCAAAATGTCAAGACGTGGGACTCCAACACTGGGGTGTCTAGAAACACTGGGGTCTTCAGAAGCTCTGCACATGCGTCCGAGGTCCCCGGTTCTGCCCGCAGCCCCAGACCCCAACCTCACTTCCGCCGCCCTGCGCCCCTCGAGCCCCGGCCCGCCCCGGCTCTGGCCTTGCGCCTGCGCACAGCAGGATGCGGGAGGAGGTGGGGGGCAGGGGGCGGGGCTACCTCAGGTCCCGCCCGTGGCGCGGCCTGTGGGCTGCGAGGAGGAGCCTCGCCTAACTTGCAGGCAGCGCAGGGCAGACGGCGGCAGGAGAAGCGGTCGTGGGCAGGATGAATGCAGGCTCAGATCCCGTGGTCATCGTCTCGGCGGCGCGGACCATCATAGGTGAGCGGCCGGCGGGCCTCGCGCAGAGTCCAAGGCGCCTGCTGCTTCGGCAGGAGCGCCGAGGGCCGGACTTGTGTAGGAGAGGAGCGTATGTGGAGGAAACCGCTCAGGCCAAGCCTGGAGGACCTGCGGGATCCTTGGAACCCCGGGCCTCCCGCGTTCCCTGACCTGGCGCGACAGCCCCACCTTCTCCTCTCCCGATGTGCGCACTCCGTCCCTCGTGCTCTGATTGGCTCCCAGGGTAGAGCCATCGCGTGGCCTGCGTCTCCCATTGGTTGGCGTGGGAAGGCGTTCTTCTGCGGGTCCCCTGATTGGCCGACTCCGGGAGGCGCCATCGGTAATGCCTGTGGCAGGGGCGGAACTGCTAGGTGGTCTGAGCCGGGCTTTGCGCTGGGGTCGGGCTGTCACACAATGACTGGAAGTCGCGACTTCGTCTCCTTCGTGCCACATGGTTTTCAAAGCCCTTGATCCGCCGGTTCCTTTTGTTTGGGAACCATGGAGCCGCATCCAGTCCTTCGGATTTGGGGAAATAGAAGGGGTACAGCGGCGTCCCTAGGCCGTTCCAAAGGTCGCTTGTCTGGCCCTCGGCCACTGCGAGTCCTGGCACCCACCTTGACCTTTGCTCAGACCAGCAGGTGTGGGGACGTGTGGGTGGAGGGGCACTGCCTCCTCGCGGTGGCCTTGCCAAACAGCGTCATGAGGCCCTGCTGCTCCTGGGTGGTTTCTACATTACCCACAGGTTTGTGATGTCCGCGCTCTCCGCCTTTCTACTGCAGGTTCCTTCAATGGTGCCTTAGCTACTGTTCCTGTCCAGGACCTGGGCTCCACTGTCATCAAAGAAGTCTTGAAGAGGGCCACTGTGGTTCCAGAAGATGTGTCTGAGGTCATCTTTGGACACGTTTTGGCAGCAGGTAACTCTCAGTGATTCCAGGAGAAGTCAAGCTTATTAGAAACAGCCCATAAACACGCGCACACGCGCACACACACACACACTCTCACTCAAGTTCTTGCCTCCATGCTTTTGCTCAGAGTTCCCTCTGTTAAGATTCCTCTTGTGGCCCCTTCTTCCAGCCCTGTCAGTAGCTTCTATCCAGTTTGAGACTCAGCTTCTTGGCCAGGCAGGGTGGCTCCCATCTGTAATCCCAGCACTTTGGGAGGCCGAGGAGGAAGGATCACTTGAGGCCAGAAGTTTGAGATCAGCCTGGGCAACAAAGCAAGACCCTGTCTCTACAAAAAATAAAATAATTAGCCAGGCATGATGGCCTGTGCCTCCCAGCTACTGGAGAGGCTGCGGTGGGAGGATCACTTGAGCCCAGGAGTTTGAAGCTGCAGTGATTGTGTCACTCACTGCATTCCATCCTGTGTGACAGACTGAGACCCTTTCTCTAAACAAACAAAAAGACTTCGCTTCATTAATATGCTTTTTGTGAAGGAACTTAGACCACTGACCTATACTGCCTTTTCATTCTTAAGACGCAGGGCCAACCAGGCATGGTGGCTCATGCCTGTAATCCCAGCCAAGGCGGGTGGACCATGAGGTCAGGAGATCAAGACCATCCTGGCTAACACAGTGAAACCCTGTGTCTACTAAAAATACAAAAAATTGGCCGGGCGTGGTGGCAGGTGCCTGTAGTCCCAGCTACTCGGGAGGCTGAGACAGGAGAATGGCATGAACCCGGGAGGCAGAGCTTGCACTGAGCTGAGATTGTGCCCCTGCACTCCAGTCTGGGTGACACAGTGAGACTCCGTCTCAAAAAAAAAAAAGGCAGGGCCAGCCTGATGCATTGGAAAGTATGCCTGCTCCTCCTTATTACCTCAGTGTCAGTCATTCACCAAAAACTTACTCAGTTCCTCCTGTGTGCCCCATATTGTGCTTAGTGCTGGGAGTATGGCTCCAACAATACAGGTAAGTTCCCTGCCCCTCTTAAGACTCAGTTCTGAGCTTGGAAAATAGGTGCCACATCATGCCCCTTGCAAATGGGGCATAATACTCCCTAGAGGAATATAACTGAGTCCTGAGAGTGCCCCCATCTTCTGATTCTTTGGGTTTCAACACTCCTAATTAATTAATTATTATTATTATTTAAAGAGACAGGGTCTTACTCTGTCATTCAGGCTGGAATGCAGTGGTGTTAATAAATCAGAGCCCACTATAACCTCAAACTCCTGGACTCAAGGTATCCTCCCACCTGAGCCTCTGGAATAGCTGGGATTACAAGAGCAGGCCACCACACCTGGTTAATTTTTAAAATTATTTTGTAGAAGTGGAGTCTCTGTCTGTTGCCAAGGCACGCGTGCAGTGGCTGTTCACAGGCACAATCATGGTGTACCATGGCCTTGAACTTCTGAGCTAACTGGGACTACCGGTGCATGTCTACTAAGTTTAAGGCTTTTAAAGCACTGTGCTAAGTGCTTTCCTTTCATTACCTCATTTAATCTTCCCCACAAGTCTGTTATATCCTATTATCTTCATTTTACAAATGAATAAATGAGAGTTTGAGAGGTTAAATGACTTACCAGGGTCACAGTTTGAAGTGGAGCTAGCACTTGAACTTAGATCAGTCTTATTCCTTAAGCCAGATACCTTCTACAATCATGTAACAAATGTTTATTGAGCACCTACTTTGTGCCAGGCACTATTTTAGCAGCTGGAGATAAGCAATGCTCATATCAGACAGAAATTCTCATTCTCATGAAGCTCATAGTATGCTAAATGCTAGCATTATTAATTATGTTAGCACCTCATTTTTTTTTTTTTTTTTTGAGATGGAGTCACGCTCTGTCGCCTAAGCTGGTGGAGTGTAGCCGTACGATCTTAGCTCACTGCAACCTCTGTCTCTCAGGTTCAAACAATTCTCCTGCCTCAGCCTCCTGAGTAGCTGGGATTACAGGCACTTACCACCATGCCCAGCTAATTTTTGTATTTGTAGTAGAGACGGGTTTCACCTTGTTGGCCAGGCTGGTCTTGAACTCCTGACCTCAAGTAATCTGCCCCGGTTGGCCTCCAACGTGCCAGGATTACAGGCGTGAGCCACTACTCCCAGCCTGAGGCGCTGCGCCTGGCCTGTCTTTTTAATATGTATGTGATCCCGCATATATTTTCAGTCTCAAGTAACCTTACCTGTTTTTAGTTTCCAGCCTAATCCCAGATTGATAACATTGTGATGAATATAATCTCTAAGTTTTTGTCAGTAACTTATTTGCTAGTTCTTCCCCACAAACTCACCAAGGAAGGGTGGTAGGTATGAATATATCTGAAACTTGGAATAGAGTAATCACTGTATAGACATTTACCATTGACTCTGATAACAGACAATGGTGATTGAGAATATTTGAAACTTTTAACTCCATTCTATTCTGTGCTACTTTAAGTAAATTATGTATTTTTTCCCAACTCAATGAAGTCCCGTAGTTGAATTATAAAAAGGTATTTGTGTTTCAGTACTCAGAATAAGAAAAAAAAGGTATTTGTGAATTCTGAGTTTGTATATATCTTGTTATATAACCATTTAAGCATAGTGTGATGGATACGAAGCAAGAACAGAACTGCTTATTGTCAAAGGTTTTCCTTTTTAAGTAACCTCTTTTCTTCTCAAGTGTCTTAAGCCATGATCTTGGGAGCAAATGGCGCTAGTTAGAAACACTGATAATGCCTAGGTTATATCCTGTGTTTATTAGACATAGGTTTGATAATGCTTATTTAAGCCCTATCTTTCTTTTTTTTTTTTTTTCCTTTTTTAAGACGGAGTTTCACTCTTGTTGCCCAGGTTGGAGTGCAGTGGCACAGTCTCGGCTCACCACAACCTCCGCCTACTGGGTTCAAGCAATTCTCCTGCCTCAGCCTCCCAAGTAACTGAGATTACAGGCATGCGACACCACGCCTGGCTAATTTTGTATTTTTAGTAGAAACAGAGTTTCTCCATGTTGGTCAGGCTGGTCTCGAACTCCCGACCTCAGGTGATCTGCCCTCCTTGGCCTCCCAAAGTGCTGGGATTACAGGCGTGAGCCACCGCGCCTGGCTATTTAAACCCTATCAAAAGATGAGGATGACACTTCTTTCTTAAGGTATTAATGACTTCTTTATGGAGGAGAAAGCTTATATCTATGAAATACCTACAGAGCAGCACAAGACAGTATATATTCAAGGGCTAGAGTATGACAGCTGGAGATTGTAGACAGGCCTTTTTGCCTCCAGTGGGCACTTACCTGACCTGTAGGCTTTCAGAAGTGGCAGGTAACCCAACTGGTAATTTTACACACACTTTCACTATGACATTTTGTCTTTCTCCCTGATTGCTAAGAGTTCTCTGTGTTCCTCTTTGTTCCTCTTTCTAGGCTGTGGGCAGAATCCTGTTAGACAAGCCAGTGTGGGTGCAGGAATTCCCTACTCTGTGCCAGCATGGAGCTGCCAGATGATCTGTGGGTCAGGCCTAAAAGCTGTGTGCCTTGCAGCCCAGTCAATAGGGATAGGAGACTCCAGCATTGTGGTTGCCGGAGGCATGGAAAATATGAGCAAGGTAAGGCCTCTCTGATGAGATGGCTTTCACTGACCTCACACCAGGAAACTCATGTCTGTGCCAGAACAGAGTAAACTGATGCATATCAAAGCTGGAACCAGTGAACAAATGCACGGAAATGACAACCTTGATCCCTACTTGATGTGAATTATTCTTCAGTTTGGGTGGGAAATCCAGGTTGATGAAAAAGTTTATCAACCAGTGTGATTGGAATCCAATATACTTTTTCTAAACTATTAATGAAGCATATAATATTTTCTGAATTAAATTCATAATATTAGTTGCTTGAGGTCCTTGGTTTTAAATTTCTTTCCCATTGTGAGTAAAAGGCAAAAAACAAATGTTGCCACTTACCTTCCTGCACGTGACAAGGAGATCCTGGGGACCAGACTGTTTTGACCTTTTCAGGGTATAGAACATGGAAAAGAGGACCACCAAGTGGTGCCCTTCTCCAGTAGGTTTGCCAGGCACGAGTTATTTCACCAAGTTCTATACCTCAAACTGGCATAGCAGTTGAAAGAAAAAGTATATTCCCTCCGTCCTACTGAGGCAGCTCAGGGGCTGAGCAGCACATTCCCTAGATAGAAGCTGATTCAGCCCAGCCATTGCTGAGGTTCAGGAGGAGGCAGGCTAATGGTAGCAAAAATAATCGGAATGATTTTAATAGGATGACACTGACATCTGTGTAGCACTTTACCAGGTGCTCTTGTACATGTATTCACAACATCCCCATATAGGGTAGATGATATCATTCCCAGTTTACAGGTTAGGAAACTGAGGCCCAGAGCCAGCATTCAAATACAACTCTTCCAACTGTAAGTCCCATCAATAACTCTTTCCATTCTAATATACCTGCGATTGAGTTGGTGAGAGTTAAGACTGGCCGCTACTCAGAAATCCCTCCCCATCATTTAGTTAGGCAGCCTGATTATTCTCACTGTAGATATCATATCCATTTAAACGGGTAACACATTGCTGGCTTTACTTAAGCCCTTAGAAGGTTTCTTCATTTAACAGATAATTAATTGCCTCGATGGAAAGAATAAATGGGACTCTTAAGGAAACAGGACACAGAATGGGTAGTTTTGAGGGAGAATTGGAAATGGGTAGGTAGGAGACTAATGGTTCCCAACAACAGGAAAGATGAAGTCTGCTAATTCCAGGGGTCTTTAGACCCTGGCCTGGCTGAGAACCTGGAACTGGGGAGAAGGGCTGCAAAGAGACCTAGATGAAGACTTAGGAAATATTAGATAGTTTTGAGTTGTGTTCTGGGGAAAAGACTAATTACAACTAAGCCTAAATCCATTTTTATTTCTGACTTCTAGGCTCCTCACTTGGCTCACTTGAGAACAGGAGTAAAGATAGGTGAGATGCCGCTGACTGACAGTATACTCTGTGATGGTCTTACAGATGCATTTCACAACTATCATATGGGTATTACAGGTAAGGCAGACATAGCTGAAACTACATTCACTTTAAAAAGGTTAAAAAGACCATATAATAATCTGCTTCTTAGGTGCTTTCGTCCTTATCGCCAGAGACTGTCTTAAGGATTTTTGTATCTCTTCTTTGATTAACTGAAGTGAAGTGAGTATTCTCTTCTTTGTGAACCCTTGATTATCAGAGAATGTTAGAAGTGGGAAGTACCTCAGAGTTCTTCTGGATCACCCCATCATTTTACCAAATGAAGGAACAGGGCCCACAAATAGTGAGAGGTAGTAACAGAGATAAACCAGTTTTTGTTTTTGTTTTGTTTTGTTTTGTTTTTGATACCTAACTGTATTTTTTGTACTATACAGTTGGGTTATTGGTCATTCATGTTGAAGGGTCCTGTGGTCTAGGTTTAATGGCAAAGCAACTGGGAAATCAAAGGAACTCATTTCTTTAGTATACATGTAAAAGTTAGGAAACAGAATAGACATTTTAGAGTTAAAGAATCAAACCCTGAGGACTTAAGCACCTTGCTCCAGTGCTTGCAGCAGTGGTTCTGGTTCTATGTAATGGTTCTGGTTCCATGTAACATATAAATACGTGAAACAGGTAATGGGGAAGAGTACAAGATTCCAAGAAGAGGGAACTGTGTGCATGAATGCAAGGAAGGAAGGAAGGGCTTAGAGATATGGGAAGCAGTGAGAAGCTCAAGGCATCTTGGCCACTTCTCAATTTAGAGCCACAACAGAGAAGGCTATGAGAACACAGGCACACCATGGAAGATACTGTGTGACCAACTGCCTCAACTGTAACTAGAGGTGGTCATTAAAAATGCTGATCCCAAGCCCTTTCCAAGGTGTACTGTGGATTGAATTGTACTCTTCCAGCCTCCAGAACTGTGAGAAAATAAATTGCTCGTTTAGAGAAAAAAAAAAAAAAAAAGCTCAGGTCATGATGGGGTAATTGACAAAGATTAGACTTCCTACTATAAACAAGCATAAAATTTGTGAAAATATATGAAGCCACTGCTTTCAGGTTTTGACTAATACTCATGTAAGACTGAGATCTTGAGAGAAAGGAAAACCCCACTGTCACTGTCTCTACCTGGGACACTTCCCAAACTTATGGAGAGGCAGAGCCTAAGCTGGGAACAGTGGTCTCAGTGATCTGAAGAGGCAGAGAATTTGAGGCTTCTGAGATGGCTGGAGTTTGTGGGGCAGAATAAGGGGGAGAAGAAAAAAAGAACCCCAGAAATCTGCAGAAGGGTCCCCTTAAGTCTTTGATCAAATACTAAACTTCTAGATAACAGCTTATAAGGCTAGTAGAAAAGAGCTGCAAGGGAGAGGTGAACTGGAGATTTTATAGATGATAGCTTTTATAGGGTGCAGTGGCAGGTGCCTATAGTCCCAGCTACTAGGGAGGCTGTGGTGGGAAGATCACTTGAGGCCAGCAGTTTGAGGTTGTGTAGTATACTATGATTTTGCCTGTTAGTAGCTGCTACACTCCAGCCTGGTCAACATAGTGAGTCCTCATCCAAAAAAAAAAAAAAAAAAAAGAGGAAGAATAGCTTGGTAAGTAAAGACAAGACATGGAACGCAAAGCAATAACTTTTTTATTTTTTGTTGGAGACAGGGGTCTCACTCTGTCACCCAGATTGAAGTGCAGTTGCTCAATGTTGGCTCACTGCAACCCCCTGAGCCACCTCAGCCTCCTGAGTAGCTGGGACCACAGGTGCACACCACCATGCCTGGCTAATTTTTTGTACTTTTTGTAGAAATAGGGTTTCACCATGTTGCCCAGGCTGGCCTCAAACTCCTGAGCTCAAGGGATCCTCCTGCCTCAGGCTCCCAAAGTGCTAGGATTACAGGTGTGACCCACCACACCTGACCAATTCTCACATTTGTAGAAGAGAGTTACAAATATGGAAAGAGAGAAGAATGTAGCTTGTGGTGTGAGGTTGCATTTTGGAGAACTCAAAATGCAGTATGAACTCAAGGTGAGTGTGTGTGCATATGTAAAATTATAAATTACACATATGGAAGTTTCTACTGAAGAGACCTAGAAACAATGACAAACCATTCACAACAAGCGGTCCTGACACCCAGATCTTCTAAAAACATTTCTCCACTAAAAGGAACTAAGGTTGTTTGGAGAAATGACCAAATTTTCCAAGGCTGGGGAAAAAATGCTAAAAAATTAAGGACATGCTCGGGGACATGTCGAAAGTACACAGGAGGCGGCCTACAGGGCTTCCACTTTCCTGTAGTGGAATTTTGAACAATGTGAGCATCAAAGTCAGTAATGATAGTAACGGGTTATAACTGCCCAAATTTTGAACAATTTGAGCATGCAAGTAAGTAATGATACTAATGGGTTATAACTGCCCAAGTTTTGAACAATTTCAGCATCAAAGTAAGTAATGATAGTAATCAGTTATAACTTGTTCAATAAAATGAAAATGTATGAGTCCATCCTGATATAAATAACTGAATAAATGGGAGAAAAGGAACAGCTTTTTTTTATGGTAAAATGCAATTAATACCTTACCAATAGAAGGAATGTTGGAGTTAGAAAATCATGAATGAATGCTAAAACTAGTGGGTGAAAATATGATGGGGAAGAATATATTTTGATAATCTAAAAAGAGCCTCCCATAAATTATTGATTACTTATAAATGAAAAAATGGTACCTTTAAAAGCTAGAAACCTGGTGAATACCAAACTGTTTTAACCAAGTGATCAAAGATGACATCACCTGGGATAAACTGATTGTCATTTATATCCTAATAAGATTCACTGAGAAGGCCAGGCGCGGTGGCTTAAGCCTGTAATCCCAGCACTTTGGGAGGCCGAGACGGGCAGATCACCAGGTCAGGAGATCGAGACCATCCTGGCTAACACGGTGAAACCCTGTCTCTACTAAAAATTTAAAAATTAGCCAGGCCTGGTGGTGGGCGCCTGTAGTCCCAGCTACTCAGGAGGCTGAGGCAGGAGAATGGCGTGAACCCGGGAGGTGGAGCTTGCAGTGAGTGGAGATCGCGCCACTGCACTCCAGCCTGGCTGACAGAGCCAGACTCCGTCTCAAAAAAAAAAAAAAAAAAAGCTTCACTGAGAAAAAGCATACTATCATTCAGTGGTATACCTCCCTTTTGGCAGAATCTTAATCTAATCCTGAGGAAACATCAGACAAATCAAAATTGATATCCTTAACAAAAGAACTGGTCCATGTTCTTCAAAAATACCAAGCTTAGGAAGCATAGTCTGAAGAACTGTTACAGATAAAAGCAAACTAGAGAGATTGGTAGTTGAGTACAATGCATGCTTCTTTATTGGCTCCTGGACTGAACAAATAAAGGAGCTAGAAGGACATTACTGGGATAATAGGTGAAATTTGAATGTGGACCAAAGATTAGATAATAGTGTTTGATTCATGTTAAATTTCCTGATTTTTGTTTTGTTTTGTGAGACGGGGTCACCCAGGCTGGAGTACAGAGGCGCGATCATGGCTTGCTGCAGCTTTGAACTCCTAGGCCCAAGTGATCCTCCTGCCTTAGCCTCCCAAGCAGCTAGGACTGCTAGCTACATGGCACACACACCGTGCCCAGATAAGTTTATTTTTAATGGAGACGGAGTCTCACCATGCCCAGGCTGGTCTCAAACTCCTGGGCTCAAGTGATCCTACTGCCTCAGCCTCCCAAAGTGCTGGGATTACAGGTGTGACCCACCACACTTCGCCCAATTTCCTGAGTTTTATAACTGTGCTTATGTAAAAAAGTGGCCTTGTTTTGGGGATGTATACACTAAAATTAAAATTTAAGAGTAAAAAGGCATTGTATCTCCAACTTTCTCTCAAATGGTTCAGAAAGAAAATGTTAAAGGAAATGGAGGGGAAGTATACCTGGTGACTCTAGGTGAAGGAAATGTCTGTTAAGTTTACAATTCTATAGAAAGGGAAGGAGAGAAGTATGACTCCTGAGAGCCTCTGCAACACTTCTAGACCCACTGTCGGTGGCAGGCAGGGCCAGCCCACACAGAGCATTGCACAGGCCACCATGAGCCTGCTAGCACGTGTGGTCAGTCAGCGCTTGCTCAAATATGGGCAACTTGATCTATCAAATGCCAGTTCATGAAAATGTTGGTTTTTTGCTCTTTTTCTCCTTTCCCAGCTGAAAATGTAGCCAAAAAATGGCAAGTGAGTAGAGAAGATCAGGACAAGGTTGCAGTTCTGTCTCAGAATAGGACAGAGAATGCACAGAAAGCTGGCCATTTTGACAAAGAGATTGTACCAGTTTTGGTGTCATCTAGAAAAGGTGAGTATATCATAATGGTTTAATTAAACATCAACCTATTTATAGGTAAGAGTAACATCTAAAAGAGTAATACGTGGGAATCTTTAGAAATTATATCTTAGTTGGCCGGGCGCGGTGGCTCAAGCCTGTAATCCCAGCACTTTGGGAGGCCGAGACGGGTGGATCACGAGGTCAGGAGATCGAGACCATCCTGGCTAACACGGTGAAACCCCGTCTCTACTAAAAAATACAAAAAACTAGCCGGGCGAGGTGGCGGGCGCCTGTAGTCCCAGCTACTCGGGAGGCTGAGGCAGGAGAATGGCGTAAACCGGGGAGGTGGAGCTTGCAGTGAGCTGAGATCCGGCCACTGCACTCCAGCCTGGGCCACAGAGCGAGACTCCGTCTCAAAAAAAAAAAAAGAAATTATATCTTAGTTATATTTTTCAGGTTGCAAAGATAAGTCCTGGATACATGAAGGTAGGGAGGGGGTATGCTGGGTTTACAGGACACGGTAACATGGGAACTGTGTCAGCACTCAGGCACCCTTGGTTCCAGAGTGTCCATGACTGCTGTGCACATACAGCAGGTTTCATGAGATACTGGAGCACTGGCTCATGGTTGTTAGGAGGCACCAGCTGACCTGTTTCCTGTATAGGCTCAACCTCCTCAGAAGTGGACACCCATTACTTCTCGCTGCTTCTGTGTGATCTCCCTTTCCCATTTCTAAAGGGTGGATCTTTTGGGGTCACTTGCTATTTTCTAATACAGAGTGCTTCCATCAAGCTCCCCTATTGATAACTGACATCTCTTATGTCCAGCCAGCAGTGCAGGATTGACTTTGAGACTCCCTGATCCACTCACTTGTTACCAGTCAAGTACTATGACCCAAACCATAGCAGAATTTGGCACACACAGGTCCCTGGTAGCTACTTTCCTCAGGAAGGCCTATGGATTTGGAAAACACAGGTGTCTTATAAGGACATACTCATACATTGTTTTCATGTACAATAATTCTTGTGTACTTTCCTCCTGTTGTAATCAAAGTGGTTATATATTAAAACTTTTCTGCTAAATATGAATCCTCATGTTTCATGTCAGAGAAACCCACCATTCCCAGCACACTTCTGTCCCTGGACTAATCTTGAGTAATTGGTTTTCCTTTGTTTAGGTCTTATTGAAGTTAAAACAGATGAGTTTCCTCGCCATGGGAGCAACATAGAAGACATGTCCAAGCTAAAGCCTTACTTTCTTACTGATGGAACGGGAACCGTCACCCCAGCCAATGCTTCAGGTTAGATTTTCTGAAGGAAATACTTCATCTGGGGGAATACTACGTTCTATAAGGTCTACCAAGTGAATATTTTTCTCTTTATTTATATACAAAAGTACTGTTTTTTTGAGACAGGGACTCACTCTGCCAGCCAGGCTGGAGTGCAGCAATATGATCTTTGCTCACTCGCAGTCTCAAACTCCTGGCTGGGCTCAAGTGAGCCCCTGCCTTAACCTCCCAAGTAGCTGGGGGACTACAGGCATGAGCCACCACACCCAACTCATATTTATATACAAAATTATTCTTAAAACAGTTTAAGGAAACATACCATTTCTCTG